CTTCAGTAAAATAGTCCCAAACACCTCCTTAACCGCGTTTTGGAGCGACACGCCCTTGAACTTGAGAATTTAGATTTTAGTCGCCGTAAACGCTACAGTAGAATATCGTCGCATCATTCCGCCATTGGTTATGAATTCTAGCTGAACTTCGCTTTTATCGTTGAAAACTCGTCTTTCCTGGCAAAACAATGAGCATAGGTAGCGCATCTACATTCCACGGTTCACCAGATACGGATATTGATGTGCCGCCACAAGCCAGGAGACCACCCAAAAGCGTGACAGGCGTACAGCCATCCGATTTCGAAACCTCGAAAGGAACTGGTCGTATAAGAAAAATGACGGAAAGGGGATTGGCTTTTCTTTTGAAAATTAAGCTCCCGAATCGACATAATGCTTATAAGAAACTTAAGGAACAGATGCAAAAGATCCTTGCGTTACGCGACTCACCAGAGACCGAAATGGAACAATTAGAGGGAGAGAGATTTTATCTCGATCATTTGAAGGACAAATTCAATGACGCTCACAAGGAGTACGATGACTTGTTAACATCAAAGGAGGAAAGGGAAGCTTCGTATCAGTGGTTCGATATCCGAGATCGAGAATTTTTTGAGTGTCGGAGTAGACTTTGCGAACGCAAAGTGTCTGTCGGTAGCGGTAGTGGGTGATGCGTCTCGGATGTCGCGTACAACAGTCGTTGGGGTTGCCATGATCATAGTTCTCTCAAGTCTTACCCGTTGAACGTGGTTGTCACTGATAAGAAGAACAACCTTATGTTTCCACTGCCGCAGTTTATCAAGCTTAGTTCGAGTTTGTGGTACAAAGTCTTGTGAAGCAAGATGGCGACTTACACCTGTTGGTATGCGCTGCTTCTTTTCGCTCTTTTCACTCTTGGAGGATTCGGTTCTGGTCTCGCATACTTATCTCCCACCAAATATATATGTGCTGGACCTAAGGACATGGGTAATGTATCTACCCAGCTTCAGTTCTTTGGTTCTTTGAGCTCATGTCTGCATCGTCAAAATTACATGCGAAGAAGCAAGAAGGCATACCTCGGACGGCGTGCTTTGTACTATAGTAACAGTACTGCTACGACTCAGCTATTACTGTTGAAGCTATCTGGAAACGTGGAGTCTAATCCCGGCCCTCAGGGGCCTCAAGGAAGTTTTAATAATTCTTCTAAAACACTTTGTAGTAATTGTGCTAAAACCATGAGAAGGAACCAAAATGGCGTCCGCTGCTCGTCTTGCCCGGCAGTATTCCACATCAAATGTACGAAAATGAGCAAGAACGAGCTGTCCTGCTATCGGAGAGAAGGGATCTGGTATTGCTTTTCTTGTACGATGCCTCAGTTTTCTGACAGCTTCTTTGATGATCTCTCACCTTCGGCGGCATGCGATTCAAGCTCCACTGGCGAGGTTTTTGAGATTGCGGAGGAACATTCAGGAGACTCTGTTGACTGGTTTTTTAGGAACGTCAATGGTTACTACAAATCCAATCTGAAAATAGGTCATTTGAACATCAACTCTTTACAAAATAAGCTTGACGAGGTCAAGAATATTCTTAACAAGTGCCTATTTGACATTTTCTTTATTTCGGAGACAAAACTCGATGGTACAACCTCAGATAGTTTTCTCCAACAACCGGGATATCGCACTATTCGACGTGATCGCAAGAAAGGAGCTGGTGGCTTGATAGCTTTTGTACGGGAAGATATTCCTGTCTGTCGACGACGTAATCTGGAGCCCGAATCAGTCGAATCATTATGTCTTGATGTCATGGATTCTAAATAGGCTCGCTTTATAGTGTGTGCGTGCTACAGATCACCTAAATTCTGTAAAATTACTGATTTCTTGTCGTCGCTTACATCAGCTATTGAACTT